TATATATATACTTTTGGGAAGGAGGGAAAAGAGTGAGGGTGGGAGAGAACACCATTGCATGGCTGCCCTTGTGGTGCGCTTGTCGATGCTTGTTTTTCAGCGTCTCGTTGTTTTCTTTATTCTTCTGGTGAGAACGGTTTGCGTTATACCCGCTCGTTAGTGGTGCTGCACGGTTGAGAACTCTCCCCTCCATTTGCCCACGGGCACGCCGTAGCGCCATTCGGCGGCAAAATAAAACCGCAATATCCTTCTATATTTTTTTTTTGATTTTTTTCTTCGTTTCTCTTTTGTTCTCCTTGGTGTTTGTATGTGTGTGTGTGTGTGTGTGTGGAAGGAGTCTTGCTGTCCCGAGGATAGGCCTTGGTGTGAGTTGTTTTTTTGTTTTAGTCAAGTAGATTTAGTGGGTAGAACACATTGGTCCAGCATCCTTATCATTGCGGGTATATCTACACCAGTTTTAAAGCTGCCGATAGGTAGGGAAAAATACATCGTTTTCCGCAGGTACACACCGTTATAGTTGAAAAGTCATGGCGATCCACGTGCACATGTCAAATGGTATGCCGGTATGCGAAGGCTGGATAGAGAAGTTTTCGGTGGGTCGAAGCCTTTTCTCTCCACGAAACTGGCGGAGGCGGTACGCCATCGTGACGCACGAAGGCATCGGCTACATGCATCGCGCCCCTGTGCGCCCACTGAGGCCATCGGCAGCGCACTGTTTTGTGCCGTTTAAGTTGGTGCGCAGGAAGAATAGTGAGGTCCGGATGTGTCCTGTCTACCTCCTCCGTAACGTAACGCCTCTAATTCACCCAGAGGTTTCTGCCAAGGACCAGGGGACGCTGTCAAGCATGTCAGCCTCAAGTGGGCACACAGATGAGTACCATTACTTTGCTCTCTCGTTTGAGGAAAGTAAGCGGCGTTACTTTCTTCTTGTCCGTACACCGAATACGGAGGACTATATTATGTGGACATCGGTACTATCTATATACGTGTCCGCGGGAAGCATCAACACCATCGTCCCTGTGCCACACCCGCTGGCGGCACGTCATTACGCGTCCAGCGGTATTTTCCAGTCTCAGGGCAAATTCTCGGCAAAGTTGGGTTGTGGCCCTGCAAAGACGGTGGAGGAACTGTACGTGAGGGACCCTGACCCGTGCTCGGCGGCAGAGATTAGGAGAATCAAAAAACGCGTGCAGGAGTGGGACGAGNAACTGTACGTGAGGGACCCTGACCCGTGCTCGGCGGCAGAGATTAGGAGAATCAAAAAACGCGTGCAGGAGTGGGACGAGGGGGAAAAGGGGCGTTGGTTGGCTATTTTCAATAAGGAGGGCTCTATATCTGACGGGGCTCTTCTTCAGGAGAGGAACGAGGAGGAGTGGATCACGTTGAGAAATTCTTCTGTGGACATGGAAAAAGTATGCGATGATGACACCTTTGATTCATCCTTGTTTGGCGAGAAGAGTGAGGGGCACGGTGGAAATGAAGCCAAACATCCCGTTTGATGTCCGTTTTTGCCTTTTTGTTTGCTATGCAGAGGAAAAGACGAAGCAATTCCGCCATCTCCCTGTCTGTACTCATTGCTATGTTGTTAACATGGCACGCCAGCCTGCTGAAGTGGGATGTTGTAAATGCTCCATTGATCGCTTCCTTTTTTTTTTACTGTTCGGTTATTGTTTTTGGTTGCTTGTTTTGTCGATCACTTTTCTTCTTCCCGCCGTGTGCCGGCCGTGGGTGCGCTCACCGCAGGGGGCTGGGTGTCGGCGGCGAGCACACATGGTGACGCCCCCCCCCC